ATTTTTTGTTTAAACGAAAAGCACATCCACCCCGACGTACGTTATCACTAGCTCTTTCATTGGAACCCTCATGTCTCATTGACTTTTGAAAGTTCACCCACCGTAATTTTTCAAAATAGGTTGCAAGCTCGTCATTGCCTATAATACACATGTGAAACAAGTCTAACTTTGGACTCAGTTTACCAAGCGATTTGAAAATTATAGGTCGAGCACACGAAACATAAAAAGCATGAATTATCATAGATCACTTCTGCCTATTTCGTTTTGTCCATTTCATCCAACCCCCCACCGTAATTTTTCCATTTAGTAAAAGCAAACATTTTGCCGAGTTTAGCAAAAACATGAATATTCATGAACGGTCAGACAATACAGCCTTTTAGTACGTAACGTATAGTGAATGGGAATGTGCGATGATCCGTGTAGGAGGTAGAGGTCAGTGGTTTGTGCTGGCAATGTTCACGCGAGCGAAAATGAGACAATCGGAGCAATATGCCAGTTCGTTTCTGGCAATTTCGTCATTCCTAATTATCAAATCGGACATGACCGCAATGACGTCAAATGCGTCATCAAGCCACGTGACGTATCACCTTTTTTTCGAGGGGCGTAGCCCACGGGCGTCAGAACTGTGAAAAATGGATGGCTATTATGATTTTTGTTGGCAATTCAGAGATTTTCTTAAAAATCAGAGGCTGGAATATAAAGTAGAAGTGTATTCATGTTTTGAAAGGCTATGTTAGTTGGGTTAAAGTAGCCCTTTAAATCACTGGATCACAGTCTTGATTTAACGAGAGTTTATGTTAACATCCGAGATTTTGACGGTTTTTAACTTTCGGTGTGAAATCAACGGTAGTCCTTGTACTCTCCCGAAACGTTGAAGAGACTACACAGAGAAAACTTATATTCGTCGCAGTGTCATGTATTTTACATATGCCAAAGATACATGGTTGGGCTTACCATCATTACTGGTAAAACGACATAATTTGATTTCAGCGTCTACTTTAGCTTGTGCAGCACAAACCCGATCCTGCTCCCGGTCATACCAAACAAGCCAACCAGATACAAAGGATATGCTACAGGGCAGCATTCCCACACTTTCTAGGTTTAGTAAGGCGAACGGTCCAACGCCAGTCCTCAAGGCGAACGAGTAAATGATGAATGTTGATGATGTCCAAAACAGTTGTTCTCCTGCGTAAGAAAAGAAGAAAATATTCGTTAAAACCCACGCTCATGCTCATTATCCTTTGTAGAGCTCCTAGCACAAAATTACTATCCAGATGTTCTTAAAGCTAAACACATAGGCTTTGGTGAAAAGGACCACCTATTTGTGATCTGCTGCATTTGGTTTATAGCGTTCACCATGTATCGCTCATGCTTTTAGTAATATAAATGTTTTTTTGTTCTTTTTTACAAATTAAAATGGACATGACTGGAATGAAAAAAAATGTAGAAATGACATGCATCACAAATAATATGCACAAAAGTGCAAAGTTTTCATATATTCATTAAACCAGATATTTCATAAATACTTTCTTTATAGTCACTATTATTTTCGTTGATAGCGGTAATATTTAAAATCAAATAGTTTTCAATATAGGGTGACAATAAAGTCATTTAATTGTTGTTTCTATGTACTAGATATCTTCAAAGAAATAGATAACTTTCATTTTAATTGTAGTGAATTCTTGTAACAGTGTAATTAAATACAAATATGAGATAATGAACTGCCTGTGTCCATACTTATACGAATTTGAGAGCAGATAAAGTCAACTGGGGAATTACGATATCAACTGCTAATCGTAACCTATTTATTTGTATGAGAACTTATATTATATTGAATTCCTTTATGAAGCAGTTCTTATTTGCACGATACTTGAATTATACCTTGATCATTGAACCATCCAATAATGTTCAAAATACTGTAAATAGGTAATTTCTTCGTATTGCTCCGGTTGTCTCATTTTCGCCAGCACAAACGTAGCTAGTTCGCCGTCACTACCAAACTAGAATTTTCCAATATGTTGCAGGGTGTATATGCCATTGGGTTTGATGTGTGAACCAGGTGTGCGGAAATGGTGTGTTGGGGAGGGGAAGTGAGAGTGTTCATGTGTGTGGTAATTGTATGTGTGTCAACAATTAAAGTCTAATACATGACAGATGGCTAATCATAAATCTACAATGACGAGGAAACTGTGTACATCACAGTCCACAGATAAATGTGATATAGCAGACGGCAATCGGCGGATCAGACGACACTTGATAGTGATTTTGTATGTAAGATTGCTTTGCTAAATATAAAATAATAAAGAACTTTTTCCATATCTTTAAACTGTCATGGATATCTGCTAATTAAACAGTTATTAAAATAAACCTACCAAACTACATAATACAATGAAATAATTGACTAAATTAGGGGAGTTTGATGTGGTGCACAATTGCACCCCTCTGTTAATATTCGAATAGTCCATGGTGTTCATGAATATTCATGTTTTTGCTTACCTCAAAAATTACCCAAAATGCTTGCCTATACTAAATGGACAAATTACGGTGGGGGTTGGCTGAAATGGACATAATGAACAAATCAAAACTGATCTATGATAATTGCAATGACGAATATCGTCATTGCCTTGTTTTCGTTCACGTTCTTCCAAATTAATATTCTTCTTCTTCTTCTTCCCAGGAATTCGCATTCGTTTTGCACGTAGTGTTTGTTATTCCTAGTTAGGTGCTTTCCGTTCAAATTTCATAGGCATAGTCTCTAGCATCTCATCAAGGTTACCTATTTTTTCGCTTTTCGAAATCACTCATGCATAACCATCCAGGCTCCATTTTGTCCGTTTCTGGTCCATTTTTAGACCTTTCTTTCTTCCTTCCTATCTCCACTATCCTAGATCCTACAAACTTCTAATGAATTCCTATAGATAGCCTAAGAGATGTTCTTTCATTTGCGACTTATAACTTGACCTTCAAAATGCCATCTTCGTACTCAAAATTCAAATCCGAAACCGACTCCATCAAAAAAATCTCAAATTCTTGAAAAATTGACCCGTATAAATCTAAAACTGCCATAACTTTATCATATAAATTCCGTTTTGTTTTTAAATCTCACCGTATCCTTATCCCATAATTGCACATAGCCATGCCAAATTTCATGCTCCAATGGCTATGCAAAACATAAATAGCGCCCTATAAAGTTCTGGGAATTGGCTTTCTTTCTGTGGCCGTATCTCCATTATGGCTTGGCAGACCCGTACCCTTTTTTGGATTTATATACCCGAAGATATCCCCTTTCAAGCCATATACGAAATTATATACCCTATCATTGACCAAATTTGATAAAATTGCTCTCCAAATTCGCCATTTTCAAGAAAATTGCGAAATAACTTCAACTTGCTCTAAAATTGCGATGATTATACCAACAACCATGAAACTTAGCAGACACATGTATCAATATACGTGACAACGGTCTGCCAAGTTTGGTAAATTTCAATGACCTCAGCGCAAAGTTATCGCTAAAAATGATGAATTTACTATGCATTACGTAATAGCGTGTTAAATACGTGCAGTACATTGCGCGCAGATGACAATGGTGTCAAACTGACCGCAATGAAGTGCCCTTTCGGATGATACCAAGTATGATATATGTTCAAACAGAAAATTTTGAGTAATCACATTTGAACAAGGGTCATTATACGAATTCCGCCGAGTTTCCGCCCGAGTTAATCGCATTTTAGTATAGACGACCGTTGGTGCCAAATCGCCCGTCATTGCACGCATATCGTTGTGCCACGATTGCAGGTCTAGTTCATGCTTGTTATCCTTCGTGTGATTGACTTATAACCTTACAATCGAGTGGCAAATTGCGTTCAAAGTTCGACTTATTTCACATGTGTTATATAGGCAATGGCGAGCTGGCGACCTATTATGACCACTAAAATACAGGGGGTAAACTTTCAAAAGTCAATGGGATATGAGGGTTCCAATGAAAGAGCTAGTAATAACGTACGTCAGGGTAGATGTGCTTTTCGTTTAAACAAAAAAAAATGAATTTTAACATTTTTTTTTTTGTGTGTGTAAAATTCCATAGGCTAACATGTTTATAGGCTGCTGGACTCTGACGATAGGGGGCGTTGTCAAATGAGACTAAACGGAGCTATATGATAGGCTTTATTTGGTAAAAAAAAATTGGGGCTGCGTCTTGGCCTAATTATGCTAATATAACGCCAAATAAAAAAAAAATGACGTGTTTCTCATCCCAACCGGACTTTATTCACATACATTGTGCTATGGTTTACTGATTTTTTTTTGTTGATTTTTTTAAATTTATTTATTATTATTATTATTTTTTTTTTTTTTTTTTTTTTTTTTATTATTTTTTTTTTTTGAGGGGGGGGGGGGCTTTTTTGGAGTGTCGTGGTAGTGGGAGTGTCGTGGTCGAGTAGTTTAAGGCGCTTGACTGGAGATGCGAAGGTCGAGGTTTCGAATCCCGACACGGTACTAATATCCTTTGGCAATATATTAACCTGCACAAGCTACTCTCCATCCAGGTGTCAAATGGGTACCCGGTAGGATGCGGCCGTCATTGTTGGTCCAACAGCTTGTGAGCGTCAAGTAACGCCCGGCTGGAATGCTCCCCAGGGAGTGGAGATTGTGCACACAGCGTGTGCGGTTAAGCACTAAATCCAATGACCGGGGTAATAGTATATTTGTAAAGCGCTCAGAGACATTTGTATTAAGCGCTATATAAAAATTAAATATTATTATTATTATTTTTGCTTTGCTTTTCTTCCTTCTGAATAGTAAATAGTAACAAAAAAGAAAAAAAAAGAGGCGGCGGCCAAAAAGGAGGTGGGCGGGGACGGACGGGAAACACTTCATTTTTGTTATTTTGCTAAATACTAAAAGTAGAATTGGAAATTTTTCATTCTTAGCTCCCAAATTCAATAATTGGAAATTATTAAATTGACAGGTAAATAGGCGTGTCCTCAGGCCCAACCCTCCTCTTCTTTGTTACTATTCACCTTTTTCATCTATTGTCAATCCATACATTGAAGGAGAACCTACATCTGAGGAGATAATTTCGGAATGCCAACTGTCTAAATGAAATCGAGTAATCGCCAGGTTGTTGCTGCCCATGATAAACCCGATAGCATAGAAATATCTGTGGGAAAAAAAATGTTTGGAAGATCTAATCTTTTCAATGTATTCAAGTTTAATGTAAAATCTTAAATCGTATGGTATACTAATCAGTCTAAAGCATTATTTTGGATCAAACCTCTTCTATACTCCACATGACGCCAGAAAACTTTTTTTGTTTTTACCATATTGACTAACCCAACTTACTACGAAAGTAAATTGGCGTAAATTGTCTCGATACAATAAAGATCTTTTGCCTGGGTTCATCGCTCGTCCTCAATAGCGTGAAAAGCCCCTGGGAATTATGGGGGTCTAAATGAATTCTTGATCATCAACTATACCTTGTAAAGTCTTGAAATTTAATACAAGTCACTTTTTGTGTGATTTAAAATCAATACTTTCATACCGTAAAATTGAAAATCAATCAAATTCAAAAACACTCCCTTTTTTCACGTTAAACAATGGTGGATGCAAGGCCGAAATCATGCGTAATTTCTTGGATTCATGCGGGTCTTATCTACATTTCCTTTTCGTTGATGATCAGCCATAGATGAAAGACTTCATATATGGCTGATTGTCAACGAAGCGGAGATAGGTCTTTTGTCAATTCTATATTGTTGCTACGGCAACAGCCAGTGAAAACGAATTCGTTTAATAAAATTATGGGAATGCAAGCATTACTTTAAACAAACAGAACTTTGTGATTCCTAGCTCATTTATCCTGATTGAGGTGTCATATGAAAGGGCAGAAAATGAAATTCCTAGAAATGTGATTTTCTCTTTGAAAATTCAGATACCGTTCGTCTAATGACTTTTTGGTACCCTTTCTTCAAATTGATTTTAATAACTCATGCGTAATATAAACAGCATATGAGTAGCATCAAATGAACGAGGAGGATCTAAGTGTTAAAAATATGTGTCATTTATTAATTATAATTGTGATTAAGTTATGATAAAACATCGATAATTTTCGGTTTCGTTTTTTTTTCTGGGACGCACTGTATGATCGTCGACACACGTACTTTACTCGGTCAACTTAAAGACGTTAGATCGTTCACATTACTCAACCTATAAAGTTTGAAATGTATTTGTTATCTATTTATTTATTGATTATTATCTTTATTGGGAAAGGTTACCTCCGCTGCTGATCAATGACACACCGACTGGGATTCACGCTTCCAGGTATCTTGCCTAAATCGGAAACAATCCCGTACAAAGCTTCTTCTTCTCCTACGGTTCGACGCCTATATCCCGTTAAATATTCTGCCCAGTAAAGCTCCTGCTTCTTCACGTCCATGGTGAGACAAGGATATAAAGCTGATACATCATGACCATGTATAAAGGGCATAAAATGAGAGGTCAACGTAGGCAAATATGTTACTGAGGTTTTAACCAAAACGTTTTTACAAGTTTCGTAGATAACTGAAATATATCATGTTTAATGCATTAAATTTAAATAGAATAAAGGTTTAAACCAATTTTACTTTGAATATGCTCATAGGGTTTCGAATTTAAATTGGTAATGATGTTAAGTACAAATTTAAATAATCTTTATAATAGGGAGTGTACGGTTATTTTCTTACCTTAAGTTTTTGTTTGACTTTCTAAGATCTGCAGTAAGATTTCAGTAATGTCCATATCGAATATGAAGGACACGCACATTATTAAGATATGAATACATTCTAGATGTAAATACTTCTTGAGGACTACAGATCGAAAATGTTGACATTCGAAGAACGATATCGTGGGCTGTCGGTCTATTGGCACATCTTATTTTCTGGGCTGTTTACAAATGAATTTCTCAAAATTTCAGTGTGAACTTTGTCACTGGGAGATAAGACTTCTAGTAAATAAACCCTACCTTCATGTTTATTGGAGAGGAGTGTTCTGTTTGGCATTCCCAACTTAACCATCAAAATGTCGAAAGTCATCTGTCTCAGAAAGATACTCCAGTCAGGAGTCGCAAGATTTCCCCAATAGAGTGCGTCAACCCCGTCATCAAAATATACATTTCCGATCCTCGCGGAGTCCCCGAGCTCTATGAAACTCGAGAATACAAAGTCACTTATATTTGCAACCCAAAGTCCGGTCTTATCGGGGTTGACGATAAGAAGTTGTACAGAAACATCTGCGAGGAGCACAAACAAACAAACCAATAAAAACAGAAATTGAAATGAGAAAATGTATGTTCAATATGCCATTACCTTTCTAATGGGTGTACTCAATATATCAATACTATATTCAAGAACGATATTCTATACTTGCTTGAATGTCGTGTTTTTACGCTGTTTGTGTCGTTGAACAGAAGTAACTCATCCTGGTACTTACCACAATCTGTGTCATCGTATCCCAGATCACACTGACATGTGTAGGCTGGCGTATGACCAGGAGAACCCATGCATGTGCCTCCATTGCGACAGGGGTTAGGTGAACAAAAGTATTCTAAACATGAGGCATAAGAAAGAAGCATGTAAGCTATCATACCGTTTTGGATGGGCCTATGTATCATAAGTATACTGATTAATGGACTGACTGAAATGTTTTCGAAAACAAAGTGACACGAACACACACACATACACACCCACATGTACATTTTTGTTGTATTTATTTATTCATTTATATTTGTTATAGTAAGTTTGTTTTATCCCTCCAAATGTGTTATACAAACATACGATTTAATAAAATATAAACGTTTTTAATATTGATTGCTCATATATAAACATAATCAAACAAAAATTAATTTGCAGTATACATAACTGAGCGTTAAGAATTGAAAGAAAACTTGAAGTATATAAACATTATTTATAAATCAATCGTACATACTATTCACTTTTTATTGTATTAAAAAAAAACTAAAACTGGAGGTGATTTTACTGGTACTCCCAGCTCCCCCTCCCTCAGTCAAACACACACTCACACACAAAGTGAATGTCTGATATCATTCTCAACTCAAGAAAAATTAACTAAATAAGTAAGTTAACATACACACAAACGTGCACGCACACACACACACACACACACACTTTAAACAAAATCATTCTAGTAATTTTGTTTGATTTCTCCGAATGTAAATCAAACAAGAACACAGAAAGCAATCGAGGAATAAATTCCTACCATGTACTACAACAAGGTGGATAGTCGCAATGTAGACTACTGTATTGCCATATTATCGCTGCGGGGGGACCCGAGCCTCGAATCTGTCCGGGGACGTATCAACTAGACCACGGCACCTATACGTATAGTTATTATTGACGCGTATGTAGATATCTCTTTTGAATGAGGAAATTTTAGGGTAATATGTATTGATTTATACTTCGGAAGTGAATAGAAACTAAACACTACATTATTGCTTTTACGACTGTCAGGGTGATTCTGTCATGTTTACTTACCCGCATTTGGTGAATTGCAAATAAGTATCTTAGGATCATCTGCTGTCTCAGTTGATTTTCTGTCAAAGACCACACCCTTCACAGCCATGCCATCGAAGTGTAAAGAAAAAGGGCAGGGATTCGATTCAGGACAATGACCATGGATCCCTGCATAAGAAACACCAGGAAAACCAATGATCATGAGTAAGTACATACACACATGTCTTCTACGATCACAATATTTATTTGTTTGCTATATTAAAAAGAATCGTTTTTTTTTTCTTCAAAAGTCATTGTACTTTCAACTGCTTTGTTGACAATGAGAATTCCATAATTTCTCGATGCCATGGTAATAGTAAAAAATGACCCAAGTTATCTCATTGTGGAAATCACCGCGTACAATAAAAAATCAAACATGTAACATGCTTTTGAAAGAAGAGCGCCCGCAACCATTTCAATTCTACAAGTCTTAAGTAGTTCTTTAATTGCTCCTTTTGGAGATACACACATGTATGTACATGTAATATGTTTGGGTGCAAAATTCGCAGCCAGAATAGGATTACTATCCTTTCAGAAAACATCCAAGTAGTTAGTAGGTTTAATAATTTATAACATTTTCATCCATCCAAAGATGCTTTGATTTTACCAAAAAAGCTTCTGTCCGCCTGATAATAATATTCAGATAAACTGCAATTTGTTGGCGGGCTGCTGACGCCCCCCCCCCCCTTCCATCTCCATACGCCACTAAATTGCATAGCTTTAATGTGAGTGAGCATTAATAACCCTTGTTGAATTACTCCAAATTATAATCTCTCTTCTGCCACATTTGGAACATAGCGAAGAGGTAGGCAAAAGAACAGGCGGCTGGGGTACAACTAATCAACCAATCCAACACTAACAAATCCCGACATCATCTGCATATTGCAAAGGCATAAACACTCACCCTTTACTGATATGAGGATTTGGGCTATCCAAAGGCTGATTAGAATCTAGTAACAACACACAAAAACAACACAGAATAAATCAATCAATGATATTGGCAGTTGAAAATATGAATTGATGTTATTTGGTTGCTAGCATAGGTCATCAGCCAATAATAATCATTTTTAATGACTACTAATAGGGTGATCACACTGTCTGTGCACACAGTCTGCCCCATGCACAAACACACACACACAACAGCAGTCAGTTGGTAGAAATAGCAATGTTCGTAAATTTATTTTTAAATAACTGAACAATTTTTTAAAAGTTTTATTTCACATATCTTTCAAGCATACCTTTAACTACAATTCTGTGTAGTTTCATTGTTATGGGCATGTGGGACATATGTTAAATTATCAATTAGAATATTGTCTTTTCAGCCATGTGTGACATGGCCCGCTGGTCGCCCATTGACTATTATTCTGCGTGGTGAAAATGCACTTCAATTTATAAAACTCCCCTACAAAAATGCAATATCCTAATGTGTTTCACTCATTGAATCAATTTGTTATTTACACTCAAAGTACTAGCCACAAATGTATTGGAGTCACCAAACTATGTTTTTCTCTAAAGTTTAGTCCCTGTGGAATGTTATGGCCTGTTGAATTAAATGGTTTCTCGGAAAATCGTCATAAATCCTCAAAGCTGACATTTTTTTTAAAGAAACTATATTGTGATGTAGCTGAAAGTCTGCAAATTATTATCATTTGTTCGGGTTTTCTAAATAATTTGTGAAACATATGAGGAAATAGCTGTAACGGTGATCCAAGTAATTTTCATCGCAATGTTTTATTGGCATTGCAAAAATATTTAGAATTTAATGTTAATATTTGGTGTAAATATGATCAATAAATATATGATTTTAAAAAATGCCAACAAAATGAACAGTTTGACTTTCCTATGTATATAATTAGCTGAAATGACCTAATTTGTATATTTGATGGATATTCATAATTTTTTTTTTCTTCAAAAAAAATATATTTCCATACCTGTCTGATATACATAGGTTTCACTGATGTATCATGTTCGGTTTTGATTTGATTACTTATGCGCATATTAATTAATTAATTAATTAATATTAATTATTTTCACAACTTTTTCATATCTGCAGATTTGCAAAAATGGCAAAAATTACTTATTTTGTTTGCTTTTGTTTTTCAAAACGGTAATAGATATATGAATTTTTTTTTTTGTATGTTTTTACCACAAAAATGATATTTTAGTGTCTAATAATTTAATTTATTATTTGTGTCCAAGAAAGTGATGAATTGAGTTGTCAACTTTGTCGAATTTTGCCATTTTTGCCAATTTGACCATTTCTGGCAGGTTTTTCGGTAATTTTGCGATATAAAAAAAATGGTATAAAATCACAACGCATTGACCGATTTCAATAGGCCAGTTTCGTAATGTATTCAGAGACCTTTAAATCGCATTACGTAATCGGAGGGTCGGACAAGCAAAGAACTCGCGGTGCGTAGCAGACTACACTTTGCGTGCATACCATACATGACTGTGTTCGCTAGGTGTGATTGTATCGTTTGTTTTCGCTATTTTGAGAGAGAGAGAGAAGAAAAAGGAGGCAGTTTCAAACTTGAATAATAAATATCTTTGAGATATGATTTTGTTCTTCATACATTTGATCTTTAAAATCGCTGAGTCTTAGGCAAGAATAATAGAAAAGCATTGCTGGTACAGAACTAGCGATTCACATCTTGCAGCTAAACCTGTTCGGCCAAGTCCCCGGTACAGGCAGCGCACGATACCCCCTCAAAAAGAAGAAAAACGAGGTCGAGGATACAAGCGATATTGGCTTGAAAGCCAGTGATGAAACAGAAAGCGAAGCACCAAAATATAAGTTAGCTAGCCGATATCGGTAATTTCCATTCAATTTTGCATTTACCTTAGCTTGAATCTGAGTACAAATTAGGACGTAGAAATGAAAGAAGTGATGAACTATTTTCCACTCGTTCGCACACACAGTCACCTCTGCTTGCAGAAGCGTGCGCGCGTACCACGTGTTCGTGTTCGTGTAGGCGCGATTCACATTTTCAAAATGAAAACAATTTTACGGATTAAAAAATGTTTGTGAAACGCCTCGATACGGACTATTTCAAGGCGGACGAGAAACGGCTAACGAGAAGCAAGCACTGACCGCAGAATCAATATTATTAACAAAAGCAACGAGAAATAATGACAATAAAGGTAATAATATTATAAGGTCTTTGTTAATAAAATAATATTTATAAAATAATATCGTCCGATGACAGAGAGCTAGAATAAGAATGATGAATAATGATAAACAAATAATTTTGAACGGAAAAAATGAAGAAAAACAATGAACAATTGAGGAAAAAGAATGATAGAGCAATGGAAAAAGGGAATAATAAAAGTAATAAAAAAAAACCTTATGATGGCAAGGAAGAAGAATCAGGATGATGAATAATTTTATTGTTTAGAATAAGATTAGGAATTAAGTTTGATTTTCATAAAATAAAAGTTTATAGTCTAGTCTTAGACTACAATTATGCCGGACCTTCGTTATTTAACTTCAAGAAGCAATTATTATTATTTAAAAAAAAACATTTAAAAATAAAACTGTTATTACATTTTCTATTAGATCTAGTCTAGACTTCTACTTTTTATTTGTTTATTATTTATATTTTTTTCTTTTTGTTCAAGTTGGTATGTTCTGTCTTTTTGCGTCGGTTTGACCTGTATAATCTAGTCACAAGTCGCTATCATAAGCTGCCGAGAGCTAACTATAGCGGGAGGATTGTACTCGAGCTTCTCCAGGCCACATAATCTATGGCCATCGGGAAATATCAATCGAAAGTCTTCAAAACTCTTAAAAGCCTTCAGTTTTCGACGATCATAAATGCATGGTCCGCCATATTCTCTACTAGATAATTGAATACGACATAGGTCCCAAAGTCAGGAATATCGTCAAACTTAAGGGAGGTATGTAACTAGTTCACTTAACGAAAATCCTGCCCGTTGTAATTTCCCCATACAGTCACGTCTACCGAGTGACACGGACCCCGTAGGTCAGGGGCTACGGGCAGGCTAGTCCGCTACTGCGGACGCTAATTTAACGAGTCTTTTCTCGGGTGTATACCGTAGTCGAAACTCCTCTTTTTCTTAGAAAATATTGCAGCTGCCTGAAACTCAGCTTGATGAATGGCAAGTTGGAAGACATTTCCTGCCAAAACAGAAATTCATATATATACACGCAGTTTTGATAGAAAGATATGAATGCAATTTAACGGCAAGAACCGACAGTCTAATACACAATGCACAGATTCAAAATGGTGATTTGACAAAGCTTGTCGGGCTTGGTTAAAGTAACCGCGCATTACGTAACCGCCGAAATTGGCCTATTCTGTTTTTTGTTTTTTGAAGCTTTCATGAAGCTTGATCATATGCAATCATCAAATAACATGTGTTTGTTGTACTTATTTTTGGCGTGCTATACCTACTACTAATCTAGATGTTATTCTAAAGAAAAAAATATGTCAATTAGTCACTCAATAGTGCCTGACGGTAAAGCTATGGTCACAAATCTGAGCGGCGACCGACCGATTAGTAGCCTGCTCGGTCGCCGCTGGAATTGAAGCATCGCCCAGCGATTTTTGGAGAAGTCGATCAGGCTGTAGAGCCCCAGCGGTGCCTGGGCGGTGCCGTGTCGATTTCCCGTCGGTCGCTGGTCGATTTTAGGTCAAAACTGGGAGAAATCGCGGAGCCTTTCCGCGCGGTGTCCCGGCAGTTACCGACCGGTGACCCACCGATTCCCGAGCACTTTCCAACCGGCTACCGGCTGATTTTAAAGATATTGCACGACGGCCGGCCAGTGATAGGCGGGGCTCCAAAAATACGCTCGGTGCCCGGCCGTTCGCCGCCCGGGCACCGAGCTAATCGAGCGTTCGCCGCCGAGCGATTTAGGTCAAAAATCAAAGCCGCTAGGTCAAAGGCTGCCGACCGATTTTGGACTCACCGCTCAGTGACCGACTGATCTTCAAGTGGCGACCGAGCGGCGACCGGGCGGCGACTGCTCGACAGCCTTTGACCTACCGGCTTCGATTTTTGACCTAAATCGATCGACGGTGAACGCTCGATTAGGTCGGCGCCCGGGCGGCGACTGCCCGTTCACCGAGCGTAGTGTGGGCGGCGAGTTAAA